GCTGGAGACAGACAGTGAAAATAAAAGGGGTACAGGTTGGGATATAAGGTAGAGTACAGGATTATTCAAACCCTAAACAGTAGCCCTAACAGTGCTCCCGTTTCCTTGAGACAGCTGCAGGCAGGAACCCTAAAGCAGCAGAGTGCCAGAACCCACGAGAGGTGCAGGCAGTTTCCTGGTGCTAGGGCCAGCCAGGAAGCGATAGTGAGTGCTAGGGCCTGCTGGTGTCATATAAGCTGGGGTTTCTATCCTTGGGGTACACTGGGCTCCCTGTCCCTCACTGACTGGAGAGTCTTCCTCCCCTCCTTGAGGTGGTGGTAATTTGGCTGTGTCAGCCAATACTGCTGTGAAGCAAGCCTCTGCCTCCCTGTGGGGTGAAGTGTGCAGCCCATGAACCTGGGCATTCTCTAGAGAAGGTAAGTGCTGGATTTTCACAGATGTGCCACTAAGATCCTGCATTGATATTTGGTCTTCTTGGTTGTAGCTGACGGAGAGACGACAGCCTGGCGATGGCAGGAACTTCCCGGATAGCCAGACGGCCTTCCTTGGCGCTTCGTGTGGATCCTCCCCACCGGGCATGCGAGAGCTGAGTCGAAGGCTACGACCCGCGGAGGGGATGAAAGCAGGGGTGCCGGGTCGGGACATGTGACCTGGGATTTTTGAGTCAGCTTTGGGGACGGGGAGGTCCAGGCTGTGGCCCCTTAGGCCGCACGGTGGGAGAGCCTCACTTTTGTTCACAGTGCTGAGGTGTGCAGGACAGAGCAGCCTCGGGGCGCATTGTGTCACTTGTCCGTCGTGCCTTCTGTGTCTTTTGTGCCTCTTGTGTTGTACGTGCCTTGCCCTGTCTCTTCTGGGGGCTTGCCAGAAACCCCAGCATCACACTTATAGCATCTCCAATCTCTGGGCTCCTCGGCTCGGCAGCTCTCAGCGGCCTCGGAATCGCGTCTCTTTTGAAAAGCATCCGATCGGATGTCTTTTAGATGTCTTGTTCCGAGCTGTGTCAACAGCCGTGCGCCGCGAGGATCCATTGTTGCGGCTTAGGACTTGAAGGAACGCAAAGATAGGTAGAGGATTGCTGCCATAAGATTCTTGGGCATCCGTCTTGGCGGTTCCTGGAGTTTGTCATTCAGTCAGCATCTTCTTCCTCCCGGGTTCTGTGAGCTTCATCAGCTCGCCTTCATTCTCACCCGGCTCATCTCGTTCCGCATTCTCTCAGTCCTTGTGGCCGTTCTTGTGGCCCAGAGTTTTGTCTCCCCATTGTGTCCCCTCGTCTGTTGTCTGGTGTGTCACGGGTGTCTGGGTGTAGTTGTCCCGGAGCTGCTCTGCCCTGCTGCCCAGCCGCCCAGCCTGGCTGTAGGTGTAAAAGGCCAAGTCCCAGGCCCCTGTAATTTGAAATTTGTGATGTAGGGTGTAGTTGGGGTCTAGAACATATTCCTAGATCAACACAACATGTCTGGAGCTGTGAAGTTACCCTGCAGCGCTTTGACTTTTGTCTCAGCTTTCTTTCAGATGCGGATGCATGGAATCGGTGGCAGAGAGCCCCATCCAGGGTAAGGGGGTTCCCCCGAGAAGGTAAGTCAATGTTTGTCTTTGCAGGGCAACTGGAACCGGTCACTGTGTTACAGGTCTCCTCTTTCTCTTTATTTTCAGGAAACAGAGCCGGCTAGCAGCAGTCAAGGTGAAGTGGGCAAGGTGAGCGTTGACCGGTGGAGGGAGGCTGTTGTTATCGCTGGGCCCTCAGTTTCTGGTGCAACGCCAAGCGTCCCTTCTTGTTTGCGTGCTTTAGGCGGTCCAGTCGCGTTTCGTCGAGACCCCCGTCGCCAGCCGGCCGGCACGCCTGCTTCGCCGCTCCCGTGAGCCCTGCGGAAGCGTTACAGGGACTGCGTGACGGAGCCTTTTCCACGTAAAGGGGCCGTGTGGGTGGCCTTCAGGAAGGGGCCGAGGGCTTCCCGTGAGTTGGGGATGTCGGGAGGAGGAGCGAGGGCCTGTTCAAGTTTCGGCAATGCCACATCACTTTTTCTTCTCTTAACTCAGGCGCGCCCTCTGCGACGACGGTGTCTGGTCCTGGCGTGGCGGTATCATGCGGCCTTCAGGACACGGCCGTTTGCAGGACACCGTGAGTAGCCGAATTGTCGGGTTTTGGCCGATGCCCTGCAAAGATCAGCTGCTGATTTTCTGTTTTATGTTTTGCAGCTGACGGAGAGACGACAGCCTGGCGATGGCAGGAACTTCCCGGATAGCCAGGCGGCCTTCCTTGGCGCTCCGTGTGGATCCTCCCCACCGGGCATCCGAGAGCTGAGTCGAAGGCTACGAGCCGCAGAGGGGATGAAAGCGGGGGTGCCGGGTCGGGACATGTGACCTGGGATTTTTGAGTCAGCTTTGGGGACGGGGAGGTCCAGGCTGTGGCCCCTTAGGCCACACGGTGGGAGAGCCTCACTTTTGTTCACAGTGCTGAGGTGTGCAGGACAGAGCAGCCTCGGGGCGCATCGTGTCACTTGTCCGTCGTGCCTTCTGTGTCTTTTGTGCCTCTTGTGTTGTACGTGCCTTGCCCTATCTCTTCTGGGGCCTTACCAGAAACCCCAGCATCGCTTATAGCATCTCCGATCTCTGGGCTCCTCGGCTCAGCAGCTCTCGGAGGCCTTGGAATCGCGTCTCTTTTGACAAGCATCCGATCGGATGTCTTTTAGACGTCTTGTTCCGAGCTGTGTCAACAGCCGTGCGCCGCGAGGATCCATTGTTGCGGCTTAGGACTTGAAGGAACGCAAAGATAGGTAGAGGATTGCGGCCATAAGATTCTTGGGCATCCGTCTTGGCGGTTCCTGGAGTTTGTCATTCCTTCAGCATCTTCTTCCTCCCGGGTTCTGTGAGCTTCATCATCTCGCCTTCATTCTCACCCGGCTCATCTCGTTCCGCATTCTCTCAGTCCTTGCGGCCGTTCTTGTGGCCCAGAGTTTTGTCCCCCCATTGTGTCCCCTCGTCTGTTGTCTGGTGTGTCACGGGTGTCTGGGTGTAGTTGTCCCGGAGCTGCCCTGCCCTGCTGTCCAGCCTGGCTGTAGGTGTAAAAGGCCAAGTCCCAGGCCCCTGTAAGTTGAAATTTGTGACATAGGTTTTACTTTGGAATCTAGATGCTTTTTCTACATCGACACTAGATGTCTGCATTTGTGAAGTTTTCCTGCAGCGCTTTGAGTTTTGTCTTAGCTTTCTAAGCATTTTATTATTTGCTGCCCAATGTGGGGTTCAGAAGAGTAAGGAAAACCTATGCTGATTATGTTGTATTGGTACTTACTGTGTGCTGGGATAAAGGACTTTGTAATGGTGTTACTTAAGTTCATGTCTCTCAGGGTGGAGGCCTTTATGTTGTTCTAGTCTCTGAGGTTTTTTTCGAGGTTTTAATGCCTTTCTTGTCCCTAAGTTTATGTTCTTATCCAAAAATAACTCCAATAGTGTCGCTACTACATAACTTTCACAGTAAAAGAGCACAGATTAAAATAGCTGTTATGCTAAGCTCAGTAATAATGATGGATAAAAACTTTATAAAAGTACTGAAATTTGTACCAAATAGCTTTAGTTTATTGTTTCTTTGGCCTACCCTACATCCCAATCCCAGTAACATGTTTTAAAAGTGTATTAGTAATTATACCCTGTTTATTAGAAGAGGAGCAATAAAACCCCACTACACTCTTTTTTCTAATAATTCATACCACATCATAAAAGTAAAACAAAACACAAAAAGCTATATAAAACCTAACACAACCAAATCTGCTTAAAAAAAACCTCAACAACTTACGAAACTGAAAACCATTCAATGAGCCCTCAGCATTACTAAAAACAACCTAACCAAATTGCTACTTTCTAATTCATAAATAATAATCAATGCTCTATAAAAATAAAGACCTCATTAACAATAAAAAAATTAAACTACTAAAAAATAAGAAATCACTACAAAAACAAACTACCTTTAAAAATCCATCATATAAATATTCATATCCCCAAAAATACAACTAATAAAAACCACCAAATAAACAGGTACATGCAAGTACAAAAAAAAAAAAAAAGTCAAAAATAAACTGTAATTAACCATACAGGAACAATTTGGTTTTAACTTAATAATCTCATAATACCTTGAATCATCAAAATAAAAATACTATCTCCAAATAAACACAAAACCAAGAAATAAATTTAACCATAAATAATACTTTTCACCTTATCCATAAGTTTAAAACATACTACAATCGAACAAATGAACCCCCTCTAAGAAACAATAATCCAAATAGTAATATAAGAAACATAACAAATTAGCTACATTACTGTACCCCAAACACACCAAAATAAACACTACATACTCACAATAATAAAAAAAAACACTAAATAAATAAAAACGTACCCTATACCTCACACTGCTACTCAAAACGTCATACTTAACCTTAAAAAAACAAGCCCTTTAAAAACATAATACCCCTAAAAAATTTAATCAAACCATAAAACTCATTTCAAAAACAACCTTATCAACACCTAAAGTAAAAAACATAATATTCAGTAAATATACCATATCCCCTACCATGCACCAAGTACAAAAAAAAAACCAAACCAAAAAACTATTAAAAACCATCTTAAAAACATTACATAAAAAAGTCTTTCAAATATTAAAAAACATCTAGCAAAAGCCACCTAATTCATTAACACCCCAAACTCCACTAAGCAAACTAACCCTACTCAATCTAAACCCTGACATATCATTAACAAAACCAAAATCCCAGTAACAAATAAAAAAATGTATTTAAAAAAGCAATTAAAATCAATTCCAGGTTAAATAGAAAAAACTCCATAAAATTGTCTTAACTCAAAAACCAAATGACACATCATAAATAATACGAAAAAATAACACAATATATACCTCAAAAAAAGTCTAAGCGTTAAATAAAAAATACATATGAGCCTCACTTTTTACTCAATATCTCTACTTTTATCTGTCTATATATATAACTAATTTCCAAAAGAAACAAAACACCCCACACAAGTTATTTTCAAAAACAACACTCATTCCCCCACATCTTTCTCCAAATGATATTATCTACAACAAAACAAAAGTCTCCCTTACTTTGAATTAATTTTTAACAAACTAAAACTAAAATTCCCTGGGAGGGCTGGGTGCAGAATCCAAAAACCTGTGGAGTTGTTCTGGTTTTTACGGTAGGTATTGGCACGGAACAGGAATTGACCTCTCTAAATTCCCTTGGAAAGGAACCCCCTCTCTGTGCACTCCGTCGTTAGGGTTTTGTTATGTCAGGAACGGCTGAGGATTAAGAAAGTGGGTTTTGTCTTTCCACCTCTTACTTCCCTGTAAAATGGGAGTGTATAAAACACATGTGTGCATCCCTGAGGTATTAAAATGCACCGAGAGAAATTTCTGTGCCTAAGTTCCATAGAGAC